TGCCCCAGTGGGGACCCACCGCCACCCTCTTCCCCCCCCAGCCCAGGGAGCGGGGCAGCCCGGCGGGTGCTTCAGCTTCTCTTTATTGATGGAGAGTGGTGCTCGACCCCCCCAGGGGCCCGGTGGTGTGCAGGGGGGAGGGAGAGGGAAAAAAACACGACTGAGACACAAGAGGAGGCTGTAAGGGGAGCACAGGGCATGCTTCCACCCCCAGCCCTGAAACAGAACCAGCTTAGGGGGCTAGATTCATCTGGGGTTTGGTCTGTGGGGAGCGCCTGGCTGCAGGGGGGGTAGGGGTGAGGAGCAGCTTCCCTCAGGCGAGGAGCATGACAAGGGAACAGCCAGCCACACCTCACCTCTCCCCTTCCCCATCACCCCAAAGGAGGGGCAGGGAAAAGGGACATTTCGCACCCTGAGGACAGGGGCAGGGCTAAGAGGAGGCCCAGGAGGGACTCCAACATAGATCAGGGCAGGACTTCACTAGAGGGAGAGGTTTTTAAAAAAAATATACACTTCAAGTATAATTTTTTTTTTTTTTTTTTTTTTTTTTTTTTTTTAAGTGATTTCAAGTCTCTTCCCCCTGCTGCTGCTGCACTGGGTGGTGTTTAGCAACCTATATCCACTCTAGGGACAAGGAGAATATCGCAAGTGATGGCTGGTCTAACGCGAGGGGAGAGGGGAGGGGAAGGGGGAAGGAAGGAGGGTGCTGGTTGGAGTCAGTCGTTCAGGGAACAGGCACCACACGCATGGTGTTGGTGTAGCCTGAGCCGGGGCGCCAGCCTGTCAGGACGATGACCAGGTCACCGGTCTTGAAGAACCCACGCGCTTTGCCTAGGAGAGAAGAGAGGGAGGTGGCTCAGGAGCAATGAACAGTTTCCAGCACTTACCACATTAAAACAAACCTGCTTTTCTGTTGGAACCTATTTTAAGGCAGCCACCACAAACCCGCTGCCCTATTTCCCCATCAGATGAGGTCGTGCTTATGTAACTGCCGTCCCCCTTTTCCCAATCAGATACTGTTACCACGCCAGCAGCCAGTTCCTCTCCCTTTGTCACCACATCCCCACTGGTAACCCCAAAAGCACCACCTGAGCAGCATCACTCACCAACACTCATGCCCAGGTTGACACGAAGGTCCACGTCCTCCGCCCAGGCGTCGTGGGCTGGTTCTTTGCACAGGACAGGGAAGATGCCCCGGTAGAGGTGGGCCTGGCGTGCCGTCTGGTCATTACGGGTCACAGCGATGATGGGAGCCCGCGGGCGGTACCGGGACACCAGGTGCGCAGACCTAGAAGGAAAGGAGAGGTGAAGCACCACATTACAGGCACAGCCACCCAAGAGGGAGCTCAAGGAAGATGCTGTACAGCCAGAGGGGCGGCTCCACTCGCAGGACAAGCGGCAGCAAGGTTTGCCTGTCACCTTGGAGGGCTCCACAAAACCCCCAGAGGGACAAAGAGGATGACCACAGGAGATGCTGGCAAGAGCCCAGCTCACCAACGAGCTTGATGCTCTGCTGAATTCCCAGTTAGGCACCACCAACGGCCATCATTCCTTACTCGAGCCTTGGGGTGAAAATCACCTCACCTCCAAGTTTAGGAAGTGCCATCCGTGTGTTTTCTTCTGAAAACAAGCCTTTATTTGTCTCTGTTGCTATGTTAAGACAGCAAGGTGCCATTTATTCTGGCCTCTGCAAGCAGCCCTTGGTATCTCAGTGGGGGTCCCTGCAAGTTCTCCTCTGTTTTGAGGAGCTCCTGGTTTATGGGATGGAAAGAGCCCAGGCCAGCAGCTCTACCCAAAGCTTGCCAAGCAGGAAGCCATTTGCCTCCCAGCCACGTTCACCTGCTAAAGTCAGTGAACAGGCCAGTTCCTCTGCACAGAGCTCTGCTCTTGCACGCAGCAGGAAGCAAATGCAACAGAGGCCAAAATTCATACTGGCAAGTCAGGCACAGAATCCTTAAAATGCCTTAACATAACAAACAGCACACACTGGGTGGGGACTACAGGCCCCCCCATGCCCTGGGCACTGCTTACAGCATGCGTCTGCAAATAAATGCAGATTAAAACTGCCAAGGCCACTACATTTACAGCTCCATGAGGATGCCAGGATCTCCAGCAGCTTTTGCAGCCTTGTTTAGCGGAGCCAAGCTCAGCAATACTCAAAGATCACTGCTTGAAGTAGGCAGTAGCAGTCCGCTCGAAGCACCCAAACACACGTGCCAGCTCTCAGACAATCGTTCCCACGCTGTCCAAGAAGCCTCCCGGTAGCTCTAGGAGGGAGACCCAGGTACTCAAAGGCTGTAACAGAATCCACAGCTAAAAATATTCAAATATCAGAGTTCAAATCTCTCTAAAAAGGTCAAGCGTAAGACTGGGACCTTTTACAAAGAAACATTAGAAGCATGAGGGCATGCAGAAAGTCAGTGCTTATAGTCACTCCTCATCTCTGCAGAAAGCAGCTGCTTCAAATCATTTTAAGCTGTAAGTTTGGGTGAAGGATTCACTGATGGTCCAGTTCTTCAGGTTAGACCATGCCCAGAGTATAATCATATCTGCCGCTGCTCTTTGGTCTGAATCCAGTGCAAGAAATTCAGATTCTCTTCCAGAAAGCAGTCTGAGATTTACAGTTGGATGTGCTTTGAGGGGGAGCAGCCTAGTTCCTCCAGCTGGAAAAGATGATCAGTGAGGCTTCAGCTTCCTCTCCACAATGGGAAGAGCCAATCTCTACTCGGCGGTTGTCACCATCACTGGACAGAAAACCCAAACTATATAGTTCCAGCACATCTGCATTGCTGTCTCTCACCTACAGCCAAGGCGCTGAGCTCACACCTGAGTGCGCAGATGCCTGCCTGTTCAGCGATATTACTTGCAGGCAGGCATACGGAAGCCTGTAAAAGGCGATTTCCAACACTTTCAGTTTCCCTGCCTAGTAATTCTAGGCTTCACCCTTAGGGCTTAGGCAAGCAGGGCTGATGCCCAAAAGATTCAGCAAGGGACCTATAGTCTGGATGCTACTATAAAAGGCCAAGGCCTCAATTTAAAAAAAAAAAAAAAAAAATTTAAAGAGTATTCTGCATCCACTGAACTCCTGCCTTACTGCTAAATCAAGGATTTCTTGCCAAGAAGTTTGAATCAAAGCTGCAACACTTATTTTCCCTTGACTCTTCCAGCCAGCGCTGCTGGCAGAGATACCATTTGCAGCAGCAAGGGGAGACAGGGCTCGGTGCTGATGCCATGCTGGCAGAGACAGGCTGAGGGACTTGGCGGTTACGTATGTGCAGATGGTTAAGATGTCTGCCCATCTCCAGAGGAACCGGCACTGCAGGAAGGCGGCCTGAGCTCTCAGTTGCTGCCAAAAAACCTGGGCTTTGCTGTGACAGCTCTAGTCTTTCAAAGTCATCTTTTCTGCGAGTCTCCTTTCCCCCACCCCATCACGAAGTGGGCTTGACCTGAGGGAACCTGTCACCTCCTACCTTCCAGATTTGGTGAGGACAATAATGGCCCCGCTGCAGCACTTGAAGGACGCTTCCACAGCGCCAACAGCGGCAGCCTCCGTGGGATCACAGTTCAAGGAAGTCAGACGACGCAGTTCCTCAAACAACTGCCTGTGAAAGATGGCGGCTTCGGCCTCCCGGGCAATCTATAAGAGTGACACGCGTTCGGGAAGACAACACTCACATCAGTCGCTCGGGGCAGCACAGGGTAAGATGAGGTGCTCTATCAGCAAGGTGTCACGCAAATATTGTCAGCTTTTGACATTAAGAGTTGCCAATTAGCAAGCCCAGATTTAGTTCAACAGGATGGGGCAATGGCCGCAACACTCAGCCACCCAAACAGTGCAGCCTCATAGAGGAATCATCCAGTTCTCAATGTTTCTTTTCTGAATTGGTGGCACCCGCTGAGTCACCTCGCCCTGCCGAGCCCACACTCAGGTGACACTCATGCCAACTGCCAGGCACTCTCGCTCTGCTCCTGCCTACCTGAAGTCCCTCCCTGCCACAGAGAAACTCGACTCAGGCTGCAGTGGTTATGCAAGGCTGACACCATAGCAGCAAGCTGCTTGCTAAATATTTGCAGTGTTAGAATGGAGCGTGTGTTTTTATTCATGGTAACAGCTACTGGCACCAAGCCCCCTCTCTGAGCCCTACCTGCCGG